AGGGGAGGGTTACAGCTTCAAGGAAGGCTACAAGAAGGAGGTGACCCCGTGGGGGAGATTTGAGGCATATGGGAAGAGAGCAGAGTTCCCAGCAGAGGGCCAGCGTCCACGAGAGCCGTGGGGCACAGTCATGGCTGAACCACAGATTGGGGGGTTGGGCGGTGGGCAGGTTTGGTTCTCCACGAAGAAACCAGCAGCTCTGAAGTCACGCGCTTTTGTTGTGGTTTTTGTTTCCTTGGGGGGGAAATTCCAAAGTTATCAACCGGTACAAAGAACAATCCGTATACTTATCATCCAGCCCCAATAGCAATAAGGTTTCACCATATTTACTTCGCTTTTCCCTTGGTGCTTAAGGCACATGTCTGGTTTGTCTTTTCTCTGTGTGCTCCAGTCCGTATCTCTAAAACCGAGGTGTTTTCTTAATAAAGCCACGAGCCGTGTGTGCAACAAACGTCATTAATGGTGATTTTCTAGCTCAGATATCCAGATCAGCTGATGGTCCCAGAGTCCGTAGCATGGTCTACCCCAGTCTAAGTACGGTCTGTGGGTCGCATCTGGTCCCTGGGTCTGTGAAGTCTGGCTCCTGTCCTCAGTCTGCTTTCCGTGGGCATCCCCTAGGTCAGGGGTCCAGTAGAGGGTCCCACGTCCCAGACGTGTCTGAGGGTTCCAGTGGCATCCGCCCCGCCCCCACCTGCTGTGAACTGGTGGCTTTACAGGGTGACAGGAATCAGGCTGAGCATTTGGGGCAAAAGGAGAGACAGAATTACTGTGGAATTTCTGGTCTGAACTGAAACGCTTCTGAGAATGAAAGGACACTGTTAACAACCTGGGGGCAAATCCAAACCAGGACTGCCCCAGGCTGCTGGGCCACGCGCCCTGCTCCGTGGCAGTGCTGCCACTGCGCCTGTGACAGCAGGGGCTCCTCCCACCCTCCCCTTGCGGGTCACTTGGTGAAGGTGGAGTGCAGCTGCCTGTCACTTTGTCACCCACAAGTGATTGGGGTTTGGCTGAGGACGGGAACACTGCTGTTTCCCTGACACGCTGCTGGACAAGAGCTGTTGGTGGCCCCCTGCCTGTCCCCCACATTCCAGCTTTGGCGGGATGAGGGAACTTGAGCCGGTGGCAAGGAGGGAGGCAGAGTCAGAACAGCCTCTGGGAGACGGCAGCCTTCCCAGCGAGGGAGCCGGGTCTCAGCTGGGGGGTGTGTGAGGGAGGGAAGGCTCTGGGTGGTTCGCTTCCTGCGGGAACGGCAGGCCTTGCTGGCCTGGCTTTGGGGCCTGGGGTTACAGGACAGGGCTGCCCAGGAGCAGATGTGCCTGCTTTACCCAGTGCTCGCTCGCTCCCTCCCCGAGGTGGCAGAAGACGACGTCCCCACACGGAAAGAACAGACGCATTTCACCGTCCGCCTGACAGAGGCAAAGCCTGTGGACAAAGTGAAGCTGATCAAGGAGATCAAGAACTACATCCAGGGCATAAACCTCGTTCAGGTGAGCCCCACGTGCTGCACGGGCCCCCCTCAGCGCTGCACGGGCCCCCCTAGCTGTCCCTAACGTGTGAATGGCACCGGGACTGGCTCCTTCTGGGGCAGGTCAGTTGCAGTCCCCCAGGACCCATTTCTGACTTTGCTCTGTGGCAGGCAAAGAAGCTGGTGGAATCCCTGCCCCAGGAAATCAAAGCCAATGTCTCCAAGGCCGAGGCGGAGAAGATGAAGGCGGCCCTGGAGGCGGTGGGCGGCACCGTGGTTCTGGAGTAGGCCAGCTCTGAGGACCGGTGGACAGGGGTGCCTGAGACCTGGGTGAGGCCCCAGCATCTGGGCCCCGCTGGTGGGAGCGGCCTCCGGACAGAATGACGGCACTGGTGCCCATGGGCCAACTCCGTCAGGCGGATGGACCTGCTGAGCCTGGAGGCGCGGCTCCTGTGTGAGCGAGCACCAGGGAGATGGACTCTAGAACATACTGCGGTCAACGCACACCCCCTGGTGGCCACTGAGAAAAATACATTGTTTGGGCGCGGTGTGTGCAGAGTGGTGTTTGGGTGTGCCATGCTGAGCCGGCTAAGGTGGCCCCCTCATTGCCCAGCAGGACATGTGGGGGTCACCGGCGGTCTTTGGGTCCTTTGTGTGCAGGGCCCTGACCTCCCAGGGCTGGCAGGAGCACACCGTGGGGTGTGGGCAATGCCCGTCCTGCCTGGGGGGTGGCAGCTGGCATGTGGCTGATAGCAGATCATCCCCCAGGAAGTGGGCATGGGGCACCTGTGGTGGTCTTTAGCAGACCGAGAATGGCAGACCTCTGTATCCCCTTCCTGGCCACGCTGGAAGAATGATCTGCAAGGACAGGGCTGTGGGACTGGAAGGGGACATCGCATTGGGAGAGAACCCCTCAGGACAGGCGTGGGGAGCTGCTGTGCTTCTAGGGGATGTGTGCCCAGCACCCCAGCACACAGAGAACATGCTTCCTGCTGAGCTCTATAAGAAGGCTGCTCCCTGACTCCGAGAACCCCACTGGCCCAGTCTGTGGCCCCAGCCGGCCTGGAGAGTTAATGATTCACCATCAGCAGATCTGGTGGGCCCATCCCTCAACCGGTGCCTACTAGGCCACTTGGAACAGGTATGGCTGGCCCTGCACCCTGCCGACCCAGCTGCATCTTCTGGGGGAAGGGAGTGGTCTGAACTCAGTCCTCAGCCGGCCTTGGCAGGTCGCATGCGGAGTCTGCGTGTTCTCTGAGCCCCCTTGCTTTTGCAGGGGAGTTGGGGTGATGGGGAGTCCCTACTCCTGCTCCATGCTGGCTGGACTGGGGATGGCTGCTCGGAAGAGCAGGTGATGCTGAACCCCAGGGCGGTGAGGCTCTCAGGCCAGCCCCATTCTGCCTGCCCAACACTGGGCTCGGGCGGTGCTCACGTGTTCTTCGCTTGGGGCAGTCTGCCTGACCTCTGGTCCTACCCCCATCCCTCCTGCTCTGGTCTGCAGTTGGCCAATAAAGTTGTGTCTCCGACTTGGCAATAGATGGGGTGTGCCCTGAATCCCTGGGAGGTCACGTGACCTTGGCCCCTGGGCTCAGCAGAGGGGTGGGTCTGCTGTGCGTCCTGAGTCGCGGTGACAGCACCCACACAAAACCTTACAGGTCCGTCAGATCCTGGTGGCAGTGCAGGTTAGTGAAACCTGGAAGAGGGAGATCTGGAGCTTTTGCCCATTCCAGGGACTCTGGTGTCTGCCTGGCCCCCCCACGTGGCCCCATCGGTCCTCCCTAAGCAGCCTGAGGACGAGGGAATGCAGCAGTGGAGACGGGCCCCACCTGAGAGGCCTGGCCGGGCAGCCTTGTTTTCAAGACCTCACCTGACCTGCCCATCTAAGACTTTGGGTTCATGAACAAGTCATTAGAATCCATTTGAGAATTCACCTGGGGACCCTTGACTTCGCTGACGTACAGCTTGCAAAGTGCCACCTTTTTCTTAAAAAGGTTCCCCATATTTGGTGCATTTTCCATTTCCCAGCATTCCTCCACCCCTGGACTGCTCTCCCCAAGCCTTGCCAGGCCTCAAGGGAGTTCCAGGTTGCGATGTGCTGGGCTGCTGTTCTTGGCATTTTCAGCGTTCGGGTCTTTTCAGGCCGCTCCCTGCAGCCCACTGATCTGGCGTGTGACCTGTCTCTAAGAACAAAAGCCGTAGGTGTGGAAGCCGCCTCGTGGATGACGCATTGCTCACTTTTGTCGCATAGCTTTCGCTGTGTGTCTCGCACCTTCTGTTTTTGTTTTGCGCTTTTTTAATGGAATTGCTTTTCCTAAAGTAATTTCAGTTTGTTTATTGCTGATATGTAGAAATACAATTGAATTTTTTTTTTTAAGTAAGCTGTATGCCCAATGTGGGGCTTGAACTCAGAACCCCAAGAACAAAAGTCACATGCTCTTGGAACGGAGCCAGCCAGGTGCCTCCTCTCTGGCTTCCGGGAAATTGCTGTGACCCTCCCCCACTGTGCCCACCCCTGCCCTGACCCGCACCTTCCTGTGGGAGGGGTCTCCGGCTTGGTGGTCTCTGGGTCCTTGTGCCCGGCTGGAAGGGGACCCCGGGGTGCAGATTCCCACCTTGCCCAGCAGGTGCGTCTTTGGCCTAGAGCACACTCGCGCCTCCTATTTGCTGGCTGGTGGAATGAGAGTGGGGACCTGGGGGCACGCAGACTCCCAATGCCACCTCCCAGAAGCCGGCACCCGCCATGGCTCAGAACTTCCCGTCTCCTCGTCCCCCTCCAGGACGGCTGCCTGGGGCGTCTGGTCAGAGCACACCTGAGGCTGCACTTGGCAGGGAGCACCGGAGGTCGGCTAGTGTTCCCGAACTGTCCTTTGCCCCTAGTTTCCCTGTAATCCGCAGACTGGCTCCGGGAAGGTTTTTTGCCACCCCCACCCCCGCATGCACGTGTCCCAGGGCTGACCCCTAGGGCCTGCGTGGTGGGGCTGGGACGCTGGGTGCAAGGTCAGGGCCGCAGCTGGTGCGGGCTGTTTGCAGGAGGCCGGCCTTCGGGTGTGTCAGGGACTGGCCGGGCGCCGAGGCCGCTCCTCCGCGTTGACCTTTGGAGACCTGCCCTAGGCGTGGGGGTGACCCTGCAGGGGCGGAGGCGGGGGCGGGGGGGGACGCCGGGTTCCCGGGGGCAGTGGAGCAGGCCCACCCAGCAGGCTCCCAGGAGTTGGTGCAGGGGCGGGGGGGGCCTGGCCATGCCCAACCCCCTCGGCACAGCTGCAGGCGGCTCTGCGGTGCCCAGTCGACTCGGCTGCCGGGACGCGGCCGCTTTAAGACGCGGGCGGTCCGCCCCGCCCCCGGCCCGAGGTGGGGTCTCGCCGGCCCCGCCCCTGGCCCCGCCCCCAGGGCCGCGCGGGCGCATTGGCTGCGCGGGGCGCGGGTGGCTGGTAGCGCTTTGAACTCGGCGCGGGCGGCGGTGCGGGCCGGGGTCCGGGGCGGGAGTTGGGGTCCGGTCGCGGCTGGGCGGAGGCCGGGGCCGGGCTGCGGGCAGCAGTAGCCGCGAGCGGGCCGCCGGCGCTCCCGGGCGCCCGCGGCGCGGGCCATGGCGGCGGAGGCGCGCGTGTCGCGCTGGTACTTCGGGGGACTGGCCTCCTGCGGGGCCGCCTGCTGCACGCACCCGTTAGACCTGCTCAAGGTGAGGCCGGCGCGGGCCGCGCGGGGGCGGGGGCGGGGGCGGGGGCGGGGGGCGGGCGGGAGGGGCTGCGGGGGGCGGCGGCGAGGCGCGGGGGGCCGCCCGCCCCTGGGCACTGACCCGTCTAGCCCCGCATCGGCCCAGGAGGGCCTGAGACCTGGGGCCGCCTTGCGGTTCTCTGCCCCCGCCGGAGACCCTGCCCACTCCGCGGCGGAGGTGCCCCTTGTCGGGGACCGCGGGTCGCGTCCAGTGTCGGTCGTGCCCCATACCACCTGTGTGACCTTGGGCTGTCCGCTTGGCCTTTCTGAGTCCGTTTCCATCCCGCAGCTCTAAGGACAGGAGTCCCCCGGGTTTGGAGTGGAGGGGTTGGTTCTGTGGGGTGCGCGCTTGGTGGCTCTAGCACACCCGGCGCATGGGCCAGGTGGCCTCCCCGCCCGGTGGGTACCCAGCGCACAATGACGGGATGGGACCCGTCCCTGCAGGTCCCTGCCTCGGGCTGCTTCCTCCTGAGCTGGGAGGGCACCTGGAAGCCGCAGACTCTGCCCACGCAGGTCCTGCTCTCGGGGCCGGCAGGAAGCATTCACACTCATTTTACTTTTTTTAGGAAAAGTGCTTGTGGGGCAGTATGAGACAGAGCTGCTCTTGTCTCCCAGGGCCAGCCAAGGGGGGTTTGTTTTCTGTCCCTTTTTCACTACAAAGAAGAAAGGGCCAATGATGCAAAGCCTGGTCTGCCCAGGAGGCCCTGCCCTGGGGACCCTGGGGCCAGGGGGCAGCTCCCCGGCCACCTCATTCCCTCCCCACCCCCTGCACAGCAGCCTGACCCCCATACTCACTCCCTGGGAGGGACTGGCGCCTGTGGCCCGGTTCACCCAGACCTCAGCCTCCTGCCAGGCCCCCGCCGCGGCCCTCCTCCACCTGAGGACCTGTTTCTTCCAGCAGCCATTGTTCTAAATGGAGGGGATGGACTTCCCCAGTGAAAACACAAACCAAACCACCAGTCAGGGCAGGACTAGCCGACATGGGGGCTGGAGGTGGTGGCCCCACTGGCGCACCTGACACCTGGCTTGTCCTGCGAGAGGCCTGAGAGGCCCCGGGGGATGCAGTGATCACTGAGAGAGGAGGTGACAGTGAACAGAAAACTGCTTTTTGGTTTGAGAAAGGAGAAACCTCCTCATGTCTGTTTTGCTTTGCTTTCCCGTTGCCCACGCAGGCCTGCGCCGCCCCAGGGTTCGGCTCTGTGTCTGACTGTGGGGGACGCAGCTTCCAAGGGCCCTGTCCACTGTCCGAGGCTCCTTGGGGCTTCGCTGCCCCATGCCCTGCCCCCTGGTGCTGTTTTGCTGCAGAATGCCCCCAGGAGGGAGGTCAAGGGAGGCAGGCAGCCACAGGACTCTGACTGCTGCTGGCCGGGGGAGGACGCAGCCCTCTGCGGGGGAGGGGCGGGCAGCAGGCAGTGTGGCAGCCTTGGAGGCCACTGGAGAAATGACTTTACAGCTCTTTGAACTATCCCTTTGCCCCATGCCCTGGCTCAGTCTCACAGCTGCTTCTCGCCTGGACAAGGGCTGCTTTCCGAGTGGACGCCTTGCCCCCAGGCCCAGTGTCCTCTGTCCTGTCCAACTAGCCGTTGCGGCTGAGCGGAGCACAAAGCACTCGCCATCCCTCCCCACCTTCGCTGCCCCACCAGCTAGAGCAGGCATTGGCTCCAGTCCAGGGGTAAAATGGGGCCCACACCCAAGGCCCTGGGAAGGGAAGGGAAGAAGGAAGGGAAAGGTACACCCACCAGCTACTTAATCCTCATAGCACACTGAGGGAAACTGAGGCAGGAGGGTCCGTAACCTCCCCGAGCAGGCCCAGCCAGAACATGACTGGGGCCGGACAGAGTGGGGCGTACGAGGACAGACTCCGGGGTGGCCGTGCCCTGGCCCTCCCAGGAGCGTCCCTTCCTGTCTCCCCCACTGGACTCCCAGCATCTCTTCCAAGCCCATCATGTTTCTTCAGCCTAACTTTTTTTTTTACGATTATATTTATTTATTTGACAGAGAGACTGTGAGAGAGGGAACACAAGCAGGGGGAGTGGGAGAGGGAGAACCCGGCTCCCCACCCAGCCGGGAGCCCGATGAAGGGCTCGATCCCAGGACCTCGGGATCACGACCTGAGCCAAAGGCAGCCGCTTAACAGCTGAGCCCCCCTAGACACCCTGTCCCCATAATTTTTGATCCCTCTTGAGAAGTGGCATGGCTAAGAAATGGGGCTCTGGAGGGGCGCCTGGGTGGCTCAGTGGGTTAAACCTCTGCCTTCAGCTCGGGTCATGATCTCAGCGTCCTAGGACGGAGCCCCGCGCATCGCATCGGGCTCTCTGCCCAGCAGGGAGCCTGCTTCTCCCCCACCCCCGCCTGCCTCTCTGCCAGCCTGTGGTCTCTGTCTGTCAAATAAATAAATAAATAAATAAATTTTGAAAAGAAAAAGACACGGGGCTCTGGAGTCCCCTAGCCGGGGTCTGCATCCTGCCTCAGTGTCCTTGTCAGCATGGGACTGAGGACCCCGCTCCTGCCGTGCGTCGTGAGGACCCAGACGCGTGTGCGGACTGTTTCTCGCAGGCCTGGCGGGCTCCCCGGTGTTGTCACTCATAAGGCGGCATAGGGTGGAATGCAGGTTGGTGCCCAGTGTGGGCGTGGAGTCCCAGCTGGGCACCCGTAGGAGACCTCTGTGTCTCTCTTTGCCTCGGTTTCCCGTCTCTAAACTGCGTCTTCGTGTGGCTGTAAGAGCGGTGGGTGGCGGGAGAGGGCCGGGCGCGGAGCCGGCGGCGAGCAGCTGTCCCCGCAGGTGCACCTGCAGACGCAGCAGCGGGTGAAGCTGCGCATGACGGGCATGGCGCTGCGGGTGGTGCGCTCCGACGGCGTGCTGGCGCTCTACAATGGCCTCAGCGCCTCCCTGTGCCGACAGGTGCCTCGGGCTCCCCTCCCGGGACGCTGGGTGGGCAGGGCGCCCGGCTCTCAGAGCTGGCTCACGACCTCCCCTGAGAGATGGGGAGACTGAGCCCGGGGAGGGAAACCCTGATGCGGCCGGCCCGGGTTTGCGCATCCGCTCAGTCACGCGCCGACCCAGTCGCTTGCTGACCGTGGGGCCTTGGGAGGGTCCTTCCCTGCCCCGTGGCCCATGATGGGGGGCGGGGGGGCGGACGGGCTGCGCCTCCTGTGCCCTCTGAGCACCCTGTTCCCCCAGATGACCTACTCCCTGACCCGGTTCGCCATCTATGAGACCGTGCGGGACCACGTGAGCAAGAGCAGCGAGGGGCCCCTGCCCTTCTACAAGAAGGTTTTGCTGGGTGCCATCAGCGGTGAGCTGCCAGCCGGGCCGGGGGGTGGGGGCGCACGTGGGCATCACCCAGCGTCCCATGTGGGCTCTGGGCTCTGTCGTCCCAGGTTGCATTGGCGGCTTCGTGGGGACGCCCGCGGATATGGTCAATGTCAGGTCAGTGTGTGCCCCGCCCCCGCCAAGGTCAGGGTCTTTCCTGACTCCTGACGGGGCGGGGGGCTTACTCTCTGGTGTCCGCGGTGGGTTCAGCTTGGAACAAGCGCTTGGACCTTGGGGTCCTGGACCCAGGGGTGGGAGCAGGGGGCGGGGCGAGCCCCGCAGCTCGCTGGCCTCTGTGTGGGGCGTGCCTCGCCCCTGCCGCCCCTGAGCCGGTGTGGTGGTTTCAGGATGCAGAACGACATGAAGCTGCCCCTGAGTCAGCGTCGCAAGTGAGTAGCCGGGCCGGGCTCTACTCTGGTTTGTGGGGGGCTGCTGGGGGCACGGGGCAGGGAGACCTGAGCAGCTCTGCCGGGCCCCAGCTGGGAGTCCCAGCAGGCCCTGCTGCGTGTGGCGTCCCTGGGAGCGGCAGAGACGGCTGACCCGGCGCACATCTGCCCTGAGTCAGGAGGGCTTCTGTTCCTTTCCGGGGCGCTGGGGTGGAGGCTGGCTACATTCCCCTGCCTTTCTGGTATCTTGTACTTGTTCACAGGAAGGACCGTTTACAAATTTAAGTGACTTTGGGCCTTTAAAAAGGTTGGGAGCTGGGGTTTTTTGTTTTTTGTTTTTTAACGGTAAAAATATTTTTCATAAAGTCTGAGATCCTGTTGATTCCAAGGCTGTTACGGACTGACACCCCAGCTAGAGTAGGCATGGGCTTCAGTCCAGGGGCAAAATGGGGCTCCAGGCTGGCCCCCCCACCCTCTCACCCTAAGGAACAGCCCACAGCCAGGCCCAGCCTCGGGGGGTCTTCAGGCACGGTCGTCCCCTGCCCCCGTGGGAGCTGCGTGGCTCTCCCCATGGAGGGCCCTCCCGTGGGGGCCAGTGGGCAGGGAAAGCCTCACACGGGCCCATGGTCTGTCCTTGGCAGCTACGCCCACGCTGTGGACGGCTTGTACCGTGTGGCCCGGGAAGGTAAGAGGAGCAGGCCCTGTGTTTGGGGGGTCCCAGGAGGCAGAAGGGCCTGGGAGTGTCGTGCAGGACCTGGGGGAGGCCGGGGGGCACTGGGCTGGGCGCCTGACCTTCGTTCTCCGGCAGAGGGTCTGAAGAAGCTGTTCTCGGGCGCCAGCATGGCATCCAGTCGAGGGATGCTAGTCACCGTGGGCCAGGTGGGGCTCCTGCTGGTGGGGGGGGCTCTCGGGGCGGCATCTGGGGGACCCGCCCTCAGCCCCTGGAGAGGTGGTGGAGGAAGGCCGTGGGCTCGGACCACACACGGGGGCTGGGGAGGTGGGTAGGCCCCTCCCGGTCCGGCCTCCCCCATCTGCCTGGTCACAGTGACCGTGGAGACGTGCTGCGGAGCAGGCGCCTGGTCAGTCCCGGTGACGTCCCTGTGGGCCCCTGTCTGCTCTCCCTGGAGCTGGGAGCCATCCCACGGGCCCTGCTCACCGCTCCACCCCTGCAGCTGTCCTGCTACGATCAGGCCAAGCAGCTGGTGCTCAGCACCGGGCACCTGCCTGATGGCGTCCTCACTCACCTTGTCGCCAGCTTCATCGCGGTGAGTGCTGGGCCTGGCCGTCGGGGGCCTGGGGCCGACCAGCCTCGGGAGCTGAGGGTGCCTGGGACGAGGCCGGGGCTCGGGAGGCAGGAGGCTATGGGCAGGCGTGGCGGAGGTCCCTCTCGGGCCGCATGTGTCGGTGGGCGCCCAGGCTCCGGAGCCCCAGCCGAGATGGCTCTGAGTGACTCCCAGTGTCCCGGGGTCCTGCAGCTCTGAGGGTACCTCCGGGGGTCCGGGCCGGGGCTTCTGAGGGGAGGACGAGGGGTGCCGGCACACTCCGCCCAGCAGGCCCATTGGTGCTAAGCTCCCCCCGTAGGGTGGGTGTGCCACGATCCTGTGCCAGCCCCTGGACGTCCTGAAGACGCGTCTCATGAATGCCAAGGGCGAGTATCAGGTGAGTGGCGGCTGCAGGCACCATTCCCCTCGACAGTACAGGTGTGGGGGTGGGGACGGGGGACCCGGGAGGGGTCCCCACACTGCCACCCTCGGCCTCCGTGGCTGGGTGCACCTGTGTCCCCATCCTGGCATGTGGCTGAGGCTTTCTCTCCCGCTGCTGTTCCAGCCAGCCGTGCAGCAGCCCTTGGCCCTGTGTGTTTTTAAAGATTTTATTTTTTTAAGTAGGCTCCCGTCCAGTGTGGGGCTTGAACTCACGGCCCTGAGATCAAGAGCTGCGTGCTGTACCAGCAGCCGGGAGGGTGGCCCCTGTGTGTGTTTAAATCTGATTCCTTGCTGTGTCACGAGCTGGCGGGTTCACTGAAGTCAGTGAAAGTCGGTGGGGTGCCACGATCAAGCGGGCCGGCCAGACCCCGGGGCCCCTGCATGACCTCATCAGTGTCCTTACTGGGCCCTATGCCTCTTGCCAGATGCCCCCCCACCGTGTGGGGCCGCCATGCACTGTGGGTGCCCAGAGCGTCACCTGTGCCCGGTTCTGCTGTGTCAGCGGGGCTGGTGGCAGTGACCTTGCCTGCCTGCTGTCATGATCTTTGAGGCCCGGCCGCTCACTGCGCAGGGCCCCTGGCCGGTGCTGGGGGAGGGGCTGTCATGTGCGCCTTGAGAAAAACAGCTCTTTTTATTGCTTAATTCTGTGTTTTCTGCAGGGTGTTCTCCACTGCGCAGTAGAGACAGCAAAGCTGGGGCCGCTGGCCTTTTACAAGGTGGGCCGTTGGTGGGGGCGGGGCTGCGGGGCGGGGCTGCGGGGCGGGGCTGCGGGGCGGGGCGGGCCCTGGGGTTCCCCTCACTTCCTGCTTCCTGGTCCCCAGGGCCTCCTGCCTGCCGGCATCCGCCTCATGCCGCACACAGTGCTGACGTTTGTGTTCCTGGAGCAGCTCCGCAAGCACTTCGGCATCAAAGTGCTTTCCTGATGGGGGGGGGGAAGGGGCGACCCCGCACCCAGGAGGGTTGGTGGGCTGAGCGCTGCCCGTGTGCCCAGGCCTCCGTCCTCCCGGGCCCCCCACCCTGGCCTTCCCCCATGGGCTCCGGCCGCACCCAGCCTACCTGGGCCGGAGATCCTTCCAGAATCCTCCGTCCCCTCCACTTTCTGCCTGCCCTCCCCAGGCTCTCCCTACCTGGCATTCCGGGGGACCCCCATGTCCTCCCCCAGGCACAGTAATGACCCAGAGGGGAGGTGTCCAGGCCCTGGGTTTGGTTCTCTCCTCCCCCAGTAGCCGGCTCACCCTGGAGGTGGGCTGTTCTCCAGTCTGAGGCCTTCAGCAGCAGCTTCCATCCAGGGATGGGTGGCGATGGAGGGGGTACCGACCCCCCAGCACAGCTCAGCAGACTCGGGGTGCGCACAGGCACTTTTATTTCTGGAGAGGGACCGTAGCTCTTCTGACATTCTCAAAGGCAGCTGTGCCCCCCAGCACCGGGGCCCCTGGGCAGACGGCACTGGGCAGAACCACCAAGTCCAGGAGGGAGGGTGGGCGCATGGCCCATGGGCACCAGGTTGCTTTAACGAGTAATTTCACGGAAACCTCTCAGCGCCGGGAGCCTGCTGCCGCCTTCAGGGAGCAGGCAGCGCCCCACACGCTGTCCGCGCCTCCCCCAGCTCCCCATGCAGGGGCCCACTCTGTGCGGCCAGCGGCTGCCCACAGAGCACCCCCCAGCCTGAGTTCTGGCACCAGGCAGCCTGTCCCCACACCCCGCAAGGGGTTCTCTGCAGGGTGTCAATAAAGGACCGCGCAGTGCTCCACACCCCGTGTCTGTGTGCGGGCTCTGGCCTGCGAGACCCGTTCTGCCCCCTCCAAAGAGGCTATCCGGTTCTGGGGGGCAAGGCTGAGGGCCCAGAGGGAGAAAGAGGCCCCAGCCTGACCGCGTACATCGGGGAGGGCTGTGGGTGGAGGAACTGGGGGGGATGGGGACGGGCAGGGTATGCACTCTGGGGGTTCAGTTGGATCCAAGTTCCCACGGACCCCCCGGGCCTCCTCAGCAAGCACCTGGGTGCTACAAGACACCCCCTGCTCCCCGTTGGGTCTGGCCAGCTGCCCTGGGAGCCCTGCTCTGGGCTGTGTGAGGAGCCCCAGAGGCTGGGCACACCCTTGGACAGACCGGGGGGGGGGGGGGGGCAGAGTGGGTGTGGGGGCCACCCAGAGGCCTTCCAAAGTTGCAGACAGGCGGATGCCACCCTTGGCGGAACCTTGGGACATGGGACCTTGGACTCCTGGTTCTGGAGCGCTGTGGGTGCGCGTCCGGTGTCAGCGGGAATCTCCGTAGAGCTACTGTGGTGGCAGGGCCCCTGCCCTGCATCCCCCTAGCCCCGCGTCCCCCCAGCTGCAGCAGGAGCGCGCACCGGCCCTGCGCCCCCCGCATTATTTGGAAGCAAATTCTGGACTCGGAGTCATTTATAGATAAAAGCTTCAGTGCCTGTATCTAAAAATGGTCTTTTGGGGCACCTGCCTGGCTCCTTGGGTTAATTGACTTTTGGTCTCGGCTCAGGCCATGATCTCAGGGTCGTGGGATTGAGCCCCATGTCAGGCTCTGCTCGGCACAGCATCAGCTTGGGAATCCATCTCAAATAAGTCCTTAGAAATAGTTTCAAAAAATGCGACCGTTACTCCAGTAACCGTCTTCCTACTCATGTAGGAACAGGAACGTCAGTCTTTATCCTCAAATCTCCTGTTACACTTTGAAAGAGCTGGTTTCCTGGAAATCAGTCCAGGCCTGCGTGTGTCCCTCCTGTCCCTTCTCTGCCTGTCCTCAGTCCTGCAGCCTGTCCTGGAACTCAGCACCCTCGTCCCTGAGTTTCCTAAAACTGGCAATAATCTGGATCCGGGTCCCATTTCTGAGCAAAGGACCTGGTGTGGGGTGTGGTTCCTGTGTCCATGCTAAGGGTCTTGGGGTCTGGCCAGGTTAGGGGCTTGGCACAAAGCAGCCATGCACCTGGGGTTGTAGAAGGCAATATAAGGTTTCCGGGAGAGTGGTCTTGGGTGGGGGGATGACAGGTTGCTGGCCAAGGGTGGGGCCTGTGGGGCACGGCACGGGGGGTGGGGGCGGCAGGTGGGGCCGGCAGACCAGGGCCCGGCTGGGTGCGTCCAAAGAGCGCCCAGGGCCAGGCCCAAGTCTGCCAGTTTGGGACTTGCATACGACTCCGCGTCAGAAGCCCCACTGGGAGGACTAGAACCACAGCCCAGCAGTACAACGGGGGTAGGGCCTGGGAAAGGCCGCTGCTTCGCTCAGGCCCCAGACAGGTTATGAAGGCACCATTTGAGCCTGGTGTGGGGGCGGGGGTGCCGTGTCCTCTCTTCTTGGAGCTGCTTCGGTTTGGAGCAAGGAGTCCTCTTACCCTGCATCCAAACCTGTCCCTCCCAGGACCAAGGGGAGAAAGTGCCCCGACTGGTTTGGCAGGGACAGCCCGGCCAGCACCTAGGTGGTGTGGAGACGAGCGGCAGGCAGAGCCTCCACAGGCCACCGTTTCCCACTTCCCGGGGCCCGCGCTCAGCGTGGAAGGGCAGCGGGAAGGTCCGGCCGGTCCAGGGGCCGCACGTTGCTCACGTTGCCCCTCCGCGACGCTGAAAGCCAGCAGCCCCCCTGGGACCACTGCCTGCTCCTGCAGTCCCTGGGGCCCCAAGCCGATTACTGGCCCACGGGGACAGGGACAGGAGAGCTCCTCACCAGTCTGCCCCGGCCTTTTTTTCTTAAAGAAACACTTCACACTTGACAAAAAGCTACATGCCCGGTATTTGTGGACAAATTTCAACAAGGGGGCCCAGAGCACTCACGGGAGAAAGGACATTCTAGCAACAGGATGTGCTGGGCCGCCGGACCCTCACGCCCCCACGGACTCGGCTCCTCAGCAGAGACTGGAAGGCCTGGCAGGTAGAGCCCAGGACGCGGTGGGGCCGGTGCGGGCGTCCCCGGCTGCTCCTGCGGGGGAAGCTGGGCCCCAGAGGACAGAAGCAGCCTTTACTGACTGAACCTGGGCCGAGTGTGACAGCAGGTGAGAAGCGTGTCCCCATGACACCTGGGCAGGGATGACCCCAAGTCCACTACCCGCCGACCGGGCCACCAGCACGCGGCCTGTCTACCGACACGGGATTCCTCAGCCATGGAAAGGAGTGGACGGCTGGAAGGCAGCAGGTGTGCTCCCCACATCTGAGGAGCGGCAAGGTCTCGCTCCCCCCGACCCCACACCCGCCAGCCCCCCTCAAACCGCCACGGCAGCACAGGGATCCGCGGCCTCTTCGCCGCTGGTGCCGCCGTTGGCCAGGGAAGGAGGTCGTTTGTTATGAGGGGACCACAATACGCGATCGTCCCTAATGGTATAGAGAAACATTAAATAGTGTCCGTTTCATATTTTGCTTAGAAGGGAGATCATTCTGTTGAACTTTGAAAAGAGAATTTTGTTTTAAAGATTTTTTTTTAAAGATTTTATTTATTTATTTGACAGAGATCACAAGTAGGCAGAGAGGCAGGCAGAGAGGGGGGGAAGCAGGCTCCCCGCTGAGCAGAGAGCCCGATGCGGGGCTCGATCCCAGGACCCTGAGACCATGACCTGAGCCGAAGGCAGCGGCTTAACCCACTGAGCCACCCAGGTGCCCCTGTTTTAAAGATTTTAAGTCCTCTCTACACCAAACACGGGGCTTGAACCCACAGCCCCGAGATCGAGGGGTGCTCGCTCCCCTAAGCCAGCCGGCACCCCTGCAGGATCCGATTCCAGGATCATGTTGAGGGATGGGGGAGCTGGGGGCGGGAGGGGGCGTGGGCAGGGTAGCCTGTGGTGTGAGAATTCTGGATCCTTGAAGAGGCTGGGGTCCTCTGGGGCTGCTGGGGACAAGGAGAGCGGTGGGCCCGCCAGTGACCTCCTGGCCCTGGGTCATCGCCAGTCCCCGCCCCACTCCATCCAGCCAGGATGGGATGAGTTCATCTCTTTATAAATAGCTGGGGTTTGGTTTGGTTTTGTTTTTAAGTAACCCACAGACCACAGCACAAACTCAAACTCGCAGGGTAGGGAAGGCTTCTCGGGAACAGCGTGCCTCCCTCCAAACAGACCCTCCCCCGGAGACAGCCCGGCCCACCAGACCCAGGTACTCCCCCTGGACTGCGCCCGGGGACGCGGTGGGGAAACTGCTCGTCAGCGCAGGACTTAGCTTAAGAGCTTGAGTTCCCGAAAGATGATGGCAAACGGGAAAGCGGAGTCATGGGCTTTTTCTCCTCCCTTCCCCACTCCCCTATCTTTTCTGCTCGGGCTCCCCTCCCCCCTCCTCCTCCCCCTCCACTCGCCCTCTTCCTCCCCCTCCCTTTCCCTCCCCCCTCCCTCCTCCTCTCCTCTCCTCCCTCCACTGCCCTTCTTCCCATTCCTTCCTCCCTCCTCTCCTCCCCCTTCTTCCCTCCCCTCCCTGTCCTCCCCCTCCTGCCCCCAACCCGCGACCACCCAACCACCTTGCTTCAGGGGTCTGCTTATTCTGCTGTGCTATAAGCTGGAGGGATCTGCCCCTGCTAAGGTCCATACTATGAGACAGGCCCTTTGTGGGGGTGGGGGTGCCCTCTCCTTGCCCATCCTGTGCTGCCCTCAAAGGGGGTGCTCCTGGCTCCCCAGCTGCCCCTGCTGGGCTCCATCTTGACCCTGCCTGGATCTCCAGGGTCCTCATCCGCTGCCTCCCAGGGGGCCCCCGGGGGGCTGCTCCAGGGGGCGGCCCCGGGGAGTGGGGGGCCATCGGTAGGAGGTGTCCCCGGGCCTTTGAAGACCCCGCTCTGCTTTCTGCCCCAGGACCCCCAGGAGGACGCCTGCCTGCCGGAGTTTCATTGCTGGAGTGTCTCAGAGAAAGGCAGGGGTGGGGGCTGGACGGCTAGGGGTCGTTCAGCCCAAGACGGTCTGCTCTTTGCCTTTTGCACAAACCACAGCTGGGTCACCCTCCTCCTCTTTGTAAATGCTGATCCCATTCCTGACCCTCCTGAGGGGAGACTGGCTTCTTCTGACTCCAGGTCTAATGATCCTTCAACCCCAATGTCAGTAACAAGACGACCGTCTCAGGGTCCCTTGCCTGGCAGCTTTCCTGGCGCAAATCCTGGAGCAAGACTCGGCGGGTCTGTGCACAAGCAGCTCCGTGGCCCAAGCTTGCCTTCTGCTGCAAGCCCGTCCAGAGCACCTTGTGCCTCGGTGAAAGGGCTTCCCTCCGAAGCGTCTTCTCTGCCTGGTCTCAGTGCCCCACTCCTGCCACTGTTCCCAGCTTGAGGCTGTCTTTCCTTGTCCCCAGGGTGACCGACCGCACCTTCCCTGTCGGTTCCAGGCCACCCTGGGCTGTCCCGCTGTGAGTGGTCTACTTCAGAAGGGCTCCCTGCTCTGCACAGGCTGTCCTCTCTCTCCCCATCCTGGACAGCTTTGTCCCCTGCTTTTGGACAGCAGGGGGTCCATGGAGCAATTCTCTCTCATTCCCTTTGAATGCCCTTAGTGCCTACCCCAGCTCTGTCCCTGCAGGCTGCCCCTGGTTTTCTGGGGCTTTCCCTCCCTCCTTCTCCAGTGAGATGCCCTCTGGGCAACATTGAGGCCCAGAGCAGGGAGCAGCCCTCCAAGTGGGCATGCCGTCCAGCCCTTGCCGTGCTCCCTCCAGCGCTCTGGACCTAGCTCTCTGGAGAGGGTGGATAAGGAGTGGGGAGGTGTTGCTCTGTGACCGGTCCTGGGGTTGTGCCCCAGGGCTGGGAGCTGCTGGGCTCCTCCCCACTCCACAGAGGACAGCTAGACATCCACTGCCCAGG